GGCCGAAAAGAGGGAGGTGGCGGTGGGTGCATGCGGGGCGCGCCTCCTCCTCCTTGCCGCCCAGCTTGAGGGCGCACGCGGCGCAGCAGTACCACGCCTCGGCGAGGTGCGCCTGCTGACAGCACGGCGGCGTGAAGGCGCCCGCAGCGGAACGGCAAGCACCGCGCCTCTGCCAGGCCGCGCGCCTTGACGCCGAGCGCGCAGCGAAGCTCCGAGCGAGCCTCCTCCCACGCCTGCCGCCTGAGGACGCGTCCCGGACACGTCACGGACGGCTCCTCGGCGCGCGCGCGCGCCCCTCCCTCGCCCCCCGCGCCGCATCGCCGCCGCGCCGAGCGCCAGCTTCGCGCGCGCACACGATCCGGCCGAGAGCTCCCACGCGGTGGAGTAGTGTCGCGTCTCCTCGGTGAAGTCGCCGAGGTAGCACCACATCTCCGGCGTCGGCGCGGCGTCGAGCCGCTCGCGCACCACCCGCTCGGCCTGGAGGGACGGCTCTTGGGAGGGGTCAGGGGAGGGCCCGAGAAGGGCCAGCAGCGCCTCTGTCCTCTCCCCGCCTCGGAGCGCTTGCCCAGCTGGACGAGCGTCTGGATGTACTCGTCCCAGAGCCGCATCTCGGAGAACATGCCCGCCGCCTGCGTGAACATGCCGAGCGCGGCGAGCGAGCGGGCGAGCTCCGAACCGAGCGACCACACCTGCTCAACGCAGCCAGCCGTGGGGAGGCGTTCTTCACCAGCGGCGAGCTCGGAGCAGGCCGACCGCACCGGCTCCAGGTTAGCCGCCCAAAAGCCCCGCAGCCGGAGCGCGCCAAGCGCATCCGCTTCCTCCGCCACGCCCGACGCCACGATGCACCCGCCGCCGCCCTGTCCGCCGCCGCGCGGCGCGCCCCGCTGCGCCACCGCTGCGGCCGCGGCGATCGCGCGGCCCGGCGGCGGGTGGGGCGGCGAGCGAGTTGCGTCCGCATGGAGCTCTTCGAGCTGCATCAGCGCGACGTGGCGGCGGCGGGGCCGAGAGCCGTCGGAGCGAACCTTGAGGCGCAGCGCGCGCGTCGCGGCGGCCCACACCTTCGGCGCCTCCGTCACCGCGCGCACGTACGGCTCGAGCTGCTCGACGGCTGTCGCGTCTGCGGCGCTCGCCGCCCGCACGACACTCGCCTGTCGGGACGGGTCGTGGACATGTCGGGCGAAGTGCTGCAGCGTCTCCCTCTCTCCTTCTCTCCCTCTCTCTCTCCCCCCCCCCCTCTCCCTCTCCCCCTCCCCCCCCTCTCCTGCGCGAGGAGGGCCAGCTGCTCGAGCGGCCAGAGCGGCGGCGTCGGCGGCGCCCCTTCCCCGAGCTCAACCTCCTCGTACACCGTGTCGTCGTCCGCGTCGACCCGCCTCGGCAGCTCCCCCCTCGCCACCGCCGCCGCACCGCCGCCGCGGCACCCGGCGCCCGGCCTCGCCGCCGCGTTCCCGCCGACCTCCACCTGCAGCGTCAGCTGCGCGATCGACTTCTCCTGGTACCGCGTCCGCCGGCCGAGGGCGCCCGACGTGCTGAAGCGGAGCCCGAGGGAGGAGAGGGCCGCCTCCACGCTCGCCTCCGCCGCGGCCACCCGCCGGTGCAGCAGCGACACCTCCGCGGCCTCGAGGTGGGCGAGGGCGAGCAGCCGCGAGACGAGGCCGCCGCCGCCGCCTCCGCCGCCTCCGCCGCCGCCTCCGCCGCCGCCTCCGCCAAGTCGCATCATGCTGCCCGCCTTGAGCCAGAGCCCCTCTCCCCCTCCGGCGGGGAGGAACGCGTACCGTCCCCGCGCCTCGTCGTACCGTCCGGCCGTGCCTCGCATCCCGTTCAGCTCCGGCCTCGCCGCGAGCCCGACCACCATCACGGAGGCGCCGCTCAGCCCTCCCGCCCCTCGCGCAGCCAGCGGGTCCGCAAGCCCCTCGACCGCATCCACGGCGGCGCGCATTCCGCCGCTCGCCTCGCTCGCCAGCGACGGCGCCTATCCGACGTCGCCGGACGGGTCACCGACCTGTCCTGTCGCCGGAAGCAGCGCCCGCCTCGCAGAGAGGGTCGGAGCCGTCGCAGAGCCAACCAGGCAGCGCTGGTGCACCGCCGCCGTCCTCGCCGCCCACCAGTCGCACGCGCCCGCGACGAGGCCGGCGCGACTCGCGGGCGCCGCCTCGCCCGCCTCGCCTGCCGCCGCCTCCCGCAGCTGCGGCAGCGGCGCGAGCAGCAGCGCGCGCGCCGCGAGCAGCAGCGCGGGCGAGCGGAGCATCACGTAGACATCCTCACCGTCGGCCTGCAGCGCGGCCAACGCCGGTGCCCCGTTTTCGGCCAGCGAATGGGCCGGCCACAGCCGTGTGCTCGTCCAGTTGAGCTGCACAAATCGGCAGAGCGCGGAGGCGCCGATCCACGTCACCGCGGCTGCCGCTGCCGCGGTCGGGTGTGAGCGCAGGTGAGCACGCACGCGTGAGGCACACGCATCGACGTCGAGCGCCTGCTTCTCGTCCACCTCTCCCAGCAGCGAGTGAGCGAGCGGCTCGCGCAGCACGCAGTCGAACGCGCCGCGAGCCATGAGGTGCCAGAGGCGGCGCACGTCCGACGGCGCGTCCGAGGAGCAGGCGACGTCGGACTCGCCGAGCAGCGCGAGCGCGGAGAGGCGATCGAGGCCGTCGAGGCCAACTTGGCTGGGCGAGTCTGGCATGTCGTCAGCAGTGGCGGCACGTGGACGACAGCGCCTTCGATCGAGAAGAGGGTGAGTAGGCTGGGAGGAGGGTGCGTACGAAGCGGAGACGCTGGAGACGCTCGCCGAGTTCGGCGATTGAGCGCCTCCCTCTCTCTCCGGCTGCGCGCCTGACCGGTGCGGCCTCCGAGTCGGCGTCTAGCGCGCGCGATAAGGTTTTTGCTCGCCTTCCCTGGGACCCCGTGTTGCATGTCACTGTCATCACTGTGCGATTTCGGGGCCCGGGGTTGTGCGTTTACGTGAGTAGGCTGGTTAAAATCCTGCGCATCTAAGGCACTGGTCAGGCCTAAAACTCTGCACTGAAAGAAAGAAAGAAACACAAAAGCTCGGAGGACGGCACGCCGCCACCCACAGGAAAATCGCTGGGACGGCCCTCATGAGCGACAACGAGAGAGCGATCCAGCTCTTCACGACGGCGCTGGCGTCTACGAAGGGCGATGAGCGCCGAGCGCAGATCCTGCACCAGCGCTCGGCGGCGCACGCGCGGCAGGGCGCCTGGGAGGCCTCGCTCCGCGATGCGCAGCAGGCGGTCGAGCTCCGGCCGGACTGGGCCAAGGCGAGGTGCCGCGCGGGCGCCGCGCACTACGGGTTGGACCAGCTCGACGCGGCCGCCGCAGCCTACGAGGAGGCGCTGCGGCTGTGCGATAGCGGCGACGCGGAGCTGGCAGACGGCGCGCGGGCGGCGCTGAACGACGTGCGGGCGAAGCAGGCGCGACTTGCCACCGACGCACAGCTGTCGCCGCACGTGCTCGGCTTTGCGCAGAGCAAGACGGCCGGCGCGAAGCTGCTCGCACAGGGCAGGTACGCGGAGGCGGAGCAGGAGTACGAGGGCGCTTTGCGGGCCATGCGCGCTGCCTTGCAGGAGCTGCCTGCGGAGGCGAGTGGCGGCATGAGGGCCACCATGGAGGCGCTCGAGCGAGGGATGCGAGAGGAGCTTGCCGCCGCGAAGAAGCGCGCGGCCGGGAGCGAGTGACAGTTGACCTACCTCTCTCCACCGGTGGAAGAGGTCACGTTAGTACGACTTCTGTCTTCTCTACGTCAAGATTCAAGTGTCAGATGACGAGACTCAGTCGCCCCAAAAGTTTTTGGCTTTTGCGGAAGTGACTAGAAGATAAAATATTCTTAGCTTCAAGCCCCCCTCCCCTGGAGACACCCACACACCAGTAACAGAAGAGTCAGACCGGTGGCGTGGAGGACACGAGGACTGCCCCCCGCCCCCCCCCGCCCCCACACTTGCCCTGACAAGGAGCCTGACTGCACAGGCGATTGGCGATTGCGTGCCCCGAAGACGGCGACACATAGCGGGGGACACCACGCAAGGAGAGGGTGCGAAGGCAAGATTGGGGTGCTAGGTGGTGGGACCAATGAGGGGGGGAGGGCGGGGTCCTGTGGGGGTGAAATGTTGCGCGGCGAATTCGAGCCGCTACCCCCTCGCCGCGCCGCGATCCTCACGCGGAGGGTAAAAACCCTGTGGGAGAAACCCCCCCCTGCGGAAGTGACTAGAAGTGCTACCCCGCTTGCACATCGGATCCATCCCGAGTCTTCCTGGGCGTGCCCGTGCACGGGTTTTGGTTTCCTCTCGCATGTCGCAACCTCATCTGTCATCGCTCTGGTCTGTGCCGTGTGTCCGAGATGTGTGTCCTGTCCGTGCAGTGTGTGTGGCCCAGAAAGTGTGGTGTGCCCCGCGGCCGGGCCGGCCCCCCGCCGGCGGCGGCGCCGCCCCCCCCCGCGAGCGGTGATCAGACATTAGAGATCTCCGGCGGTGTCTGCAGTCTCCGCGCCACCGCGGAAGGGGTGACCGAGCACACGCGGACGCCGAGACGCGAGAGCCGAGAGGGGTCTCTCCTGGTCTCTCACGTCTCCGCGCCCCCCCCGCCGGCGGCCGGCGCGGCGAGCTTGGCCTCTTGGCTCTTGCGTCTTGGCCCTGGCGCCGGCCCCCGCCTTTCGAGTTTCGTCACCATAAAGGTATATAAGATATGACTCGCTGCGACACGCTCCCTCTGTCTCACACACTGCATGCTGCATGGGACAGTGTGGCCGCGGTGACGGCATGTGACTACTCACCCACCGCACACACGGCAAAAAGTGTCAGTTCACACATCGAGATGCACACATCTGCTGCCCCAGCCCGGCGCCCTGCCCGAGTGAGTCCCACTGCGCATCAGCCACTCCCGCTCGCCGCCGCGCCCTCCCCGATCCGCCTCGCTCGCCGCAGGAGCAAGCCGAAGGCTGCGGCCCACAGCACGACCGCCCAGATGGACCACAGCACCGCGATCCAGATGGTGAGGTGCAGGCCGCGCACGTCCTCGGGAGAGGCGGCGCACTGAGGGTTGAGGTGGCCGAGGTCCGCGCCTATGCGGAAGGGGCAGAGCTCCGGCGAGGCGGTCTCCTGCCCGATGCGGCGCGGGTGTGCGCCGCCGCAAGCCGGCCACACCTCGGCCACACCTCGGCCACACCTCGGCTCTCTCTGGGCGGTCTCTGGGCGGTCTCTGGGCGGTCTCTGGGCGGTCTCTCGCCGCCGCAGCCCGAGGCGGTGTCGTTCCCAAAGACAATGCCGCAGTGCGGTGCGAGCGAGTCCTTGACGGCGCCTGGCGTGGGCGGGCGGGCGAGGCGACGTGTGTGAGGGGCGGCAGGGCGGTGGCGGCCTCGGTGCGGGGCTGCCGCGCCGATGATGACGGGCGACGGCACGTCCCCAAAAAGGTGGAGGCCTGTGGGAGGAGAGGAAGAGGACTGGTGGCGGTGGTGGTGGTGCAGTGGTGGCACATGTCCCCGAGGGGGTCGGGACTAGACCGAGGGTCTGGAGCGCGAGGGCGAAGGGGCGCGTCTGCATCGGCACGGTGAGCATGATGACGCGGCTGAGGCCGGCCGAGGTGCCGTAGATGAAGAAGACGGCGAGCGACATCAGAACGAGGAAGAGGGTCACCTGCCGAGATCGGGCCAGATCAGCCGAGGCGGGGCTCACGCCGCGCCGTGACGAGGAGGAGGCGTCACCAGCTCGGGCGTCGCCGCCACCGCCGCGGCCGCCGCCATGCACAAGAGGCCGCACAGCATCAGCAGGCAGATGACGCCGCTCACAAGGGCCGCCTCGCGCGCCGCCGCGTGCTGTGCGCTGTGCGGCGTGCCGGCTCGCCTTCGTGAGAATAGAGGCGATGATGCTGGTGCTAGTGACGGGTCGCGTGGCGGCGTGCCGGCTCTCGCTTGGCGCGCGAGAGGACGGTATCGGTGAGCACGCCGCCGAGCGGCGTGCCGAGCACGCCCCCGACCGAGACGGCGCCGGCGAAGGCGAGGGAGCAGGCCGCCTGCGGAAGAAGCACCGATGAGGAGAATGGCACTGGCAGTACTGGCGATGCAGGCGAGGGCGCAGGCCGCCTGCGAGTGGAAGGAGCCGAAGCCGAGCAGGAAGACGGGCCCGTACGTCGAGATGCCTAGGCAGACGCGCTCGGGCGGGAGGGTGAGGGCGCGGCGAGGGGGGGGGGGGGCGGGCGGCTCACGTCGGGGCGCCGATCACGGTCGCCGTCTCGGCGGCGTACCCGAGCACGAGGCAGACGTACGACGGCGAGGAGAGGAGGAGAGAGAGCTGCGCCCAGAGAGTCACCGCGGCCTCGCGCGGGCCGCCGGGGGCGCAGCTGCCGCCGGGGGCGCCGACCGCGCCGTCGGGCCGCGCGGAGAGAGCAGCCACCGCCTCGTGCGGGGAGGGGGTCGGCGGCTCCTCCTGCTGCTGCAGCGGCGCCGCGGCGGCCAGCAGCGAGGCGGCGGCGGCCGGCCGCGCGGAGAGGGCCGAGGCGGGGGGGAGGCGAAAGGCGAGCGCTGCGAAGGGCGCCATCGCCGCCGCCTCGAGGAGGAAGGCCCACCCCCAGCCCGGCCCCTCTGCGAGCAGGGCGCCGAACTCGTACCTGCGCAGGGGCGGGGGGGGCGAGGTGCGAGGCGCGAGGTGCGAGGTGCGAGGTGCGAGGTGCGAGGGGCGTGGGGCGTGGGGCGAGGGGCGTGGCGGCGGCAGTGGCGGCGGAGTGGAGGCGGCGGTGAGAGGAGGCGGCTGTGAGTGGCGGCGAGGGCCGGGCCGGCTCGCACCCGATCGCAGTGCCGACCGGGATGGCCGTGTAGAAGAGAGCGAGGCAGAGGCCCTTGTAGGCCGCGGGCGCAAAGTCCTCCACGTAGGGCGGCACGATGCACTGGAAGGCCGCCTCGCCGACCTGTTCACGCGGCGCAGAGTGTGAAGAGGCGCTGCTCGCAGCCGCAAGCTCGAATCGCCTCGCCCACCCCGGAGAGCGCGCGGCCGGCGAGGAAGAGCAGGAAGGCGCCCGGCGCGTCGCCCGCAAAGTAGGCGAGGCCAGAGAGGAGGAGCGCGGCAACCCAGATGGAGAGCCCGATGCCGAGGATGCGGAAGGCGGGCTGCGAGAGCACCAGCTGCCCGCAGATGGGCGACGCGATCGCATAGCACACGACAAAAGCGGAGACGCTCAAGCCGACGTACACGGACTGCTGCGACGCCGCCACGCCGAGCGTGCAGGAGACAAACGAGCCAAACTGGATGGGCGCGCCGGGAATGACGCCGCGGTCGCAGTAATTGACGAGGTTGATTATGCTAAGGAAGGCCAGCACGGCCTTGGGCCGGCTCTCCAACATCTAAAGCGGCAGTGGCGTGCGAGCACGAAGCCAGGTGAGAACGGCCAGGCGCTCAGGCACTGTCAAGTCGCGGCAGCGCCGGCCACAATACGCCGGGTTTTCTTCTTTTGTTTTTTTAGTGTCCAGTGCGCGCCAGTCCCGTGCCCAGTGTCGTGCGAGGGACTGTTGTTAATAAATAAATAAATAGAGCAGTCATCTCCAGGGAGAGATGGGCGACGCATACGAACACAGAGGAGGAGGGAGTGTTGTTGTAAAATTCTTCTCCGATCGTGAATTTCTTTTGGGTGCCTGGCTCACCGGCCGAAGCGCAGCCCACCACGCAGCCGGAAGGACCGGGCGGCGGGCTCGCTGTGGTGGCGGACCCTCTTGCGTGCGTGGGCGCGCCCTCGCAGAGGACCCGGCTCAATTTGCTCGCACGCCGGTGTGCACCGGTGAGCGTCATATACTCGGCGAGATGGATGAAGACAAGGTTCCAGGGCGCCGAGCTCGAGACGGCGCTGCTGTACGAGGAGGAGGGCGGCGGCGCCGAGCCCGAAGGCGGATCCTCCCAAGCATCCTCGTCGGAGGATTCACTCATTGGATGGAGGACATCTAGATTCTAGTTGGGATAGAGAGGCGACAATGGCCTCGAGTGTGTGCTGCTGCCCGACACACCAGAACTCCAGAACGGTGTTTGTGTGGTGGACTCATATGGTGCTGATCAGCAGTGAGTAACTTGCATTGGAGAAAACAGGTATTGCAATAAGTCGTTGAGAAACCACGCACCGCGAGAGAGCGTTTCCGCACGCTCCCTCCTTCGCACAGCGAGGCGCACACTGCTCTAGTGTGACATAACACGACACATATCGCAAATCGGAACACATCCCACAGCAGAGAGCGCCTGTTACAGGCCTGTTACTGGTTGTCCAAGCACTCTGATGCACGAACGGGTCTCTCCAGCTCCGCGTGACGCACAGGCGTGATTGGTCATGAGCTTCTTTGGAATGAGGCCCACTCCCGCTTTCGGCCGTCGCCTGGATAATGGCCCAAGCTGCTCCAAGTTTTGGACGTGTGGAAGCCAGGCATCGCCCTGGCGTGGTACAGTCGCTCCGTCCGCAGCAGCGTCGGAGCATGCGCAGCTGTGTACCGTGCGGGTGCTCCACCTTTGCCGGGGGACCGCGCGGGAAGGTGTTTGCGTGTGCCTGCCATAGCGTTGCGGCGACTGTGCAGTTGCAGTGGAGTAACGCCAATGCCAATCGATTTTGGGAGATGCCATGTGACTGGGGAGGCCGCCTGACTGCTACCCGGATACTCTGCTGCAGAAATGGTTGGGCAGGTTACTCAGGACACGATCCCGGCGTGAACACAACTAACTGACGGATCCGCTCCTGACAGTGGCATGCACCGCGCTGCGGCGCGTGCCACTGTCTTTGTTTGAAGTAAAAAGTCGAATCAGAGCAGTGTCGGCGTTGTCCTGAGTTTTCCTCCCACGGACCGTCCGTCCGGCACCGCTCCGGGACGCACGCCGGCGAAGCACCATCAAGCTGCTGTACGGCCCCGGCATCGCCTCCCCTGGCTTAGCTAGACCGAGAGATATTGTGCACATGATCAGTCTCTACAATGTATACACTGACACTGAACCTCCCAGAGCTCGTCCCGGTCCGCCACGGCCATCCTTGGCCTCCGGAGGGCCCCCGGCCGCGGCGCGGTGCGGCGGCGTCACAAATCCGACCACAGAGCACCGGGACGCGGTCGGGCGATCTGAGGCCCAACTAGGCGTATGCATTGCCCATTCAGGGATATCACCTGGACCCATCAACAGGCGCCTGCGGCGCCGTGGCACGAGGTGTTGTTCACACCTGCCCAACCATTCATGCAGCACCAGGGTTCCGGCTCCTACCCAGATAGGGGGTCTGTCGGCACCCGTTGGACCCTATGCAATAGGTAGGTAGGTCCGGTTTTGACCGCCCCAGAGGGCCCCGCAATAGGTAGGTAGGTGGCGGTGGTGCGGGGTTGGGGGGGTGGGGGTAAAAAAATCCAAGAGAGGGGTCGGGGGGCGGGAGAATCCAAAAAAGCCGTCCAAAAAGCCACAAAAAGCCAGCGAGCCTCCCGTTACGCGATTGCTCGCGAAGCGCAGCATGATGCGTGGCCAGCTTGGGAGGCTGCCGCCGAAACCGCTTCGCTCGCGCGGGAGACGGCGCGTTTAGCCGCGAAACGGGGCCATGCCAGACGAGTCGCCTGCGGCCGGGACGCCAGCCGAGACGGGTGCCGCACCGCGGTACAAGCCGGCGCGGCGGGCGCTGGGAGCCTATTCACAGAGCTGACGGGTATTTTTTCGCTTCGCTGCGCGGCCTGGGATAGGTAGGTAGGTGGGGCACGGAGCCTGGCGGTCGGCGCCCGCAATAGGTAGGTAGGTAGGGCGTTTTGGCGCGACTCAGTGCCTTCCAGACCCCCTATCTGGGTAGGAGCCGGAACCAGGAGTTCCCATCCCGGAAGGACCGGACGGCGAGACCCATGCATGCGAGAGAGAGCTCCGTCGACTGCCGCGTCGCGCTGGTGGCTCAGCACAGCAAGGGCCGGTGCCTGCCTGGGAAAACCTTTGGCTGCGGCGTGGACGGATACAGCATTTGGACGAGAGGTTGCCGCGGCGAGTTTCGGTGTGGCAGCGAGGCGCCGTCGTTCTTCTGTGGCTATCCTCCGGGCGAAGTGTCCTACAAGTGCAGATGCAGCGTTCTCAACGTCGCGGCTTGTCGGCACGCTGTCGCTGCGCGGCAGTGTTCGCTGCCGCTTTGGAGGGCGAGTTGTCCGCATGCGTGCAACCACGGGGTTCGCGTGCACGACGCCAGGCTCGAGCAGCAGCTTGCGCCCATCGCGCCGCCGGACAGCTGGCCCGAGCGTTGGTGGAGGGATGCGTCGCCGGGATACTGCGACGCCGTCTCTTCGGGCGTCGCCGGCGACTGCGCCAGAGGGGTGCGTGGGTGGTGGCAGCTGCCCGAAGGAACGGAGAGCAGTGGCGACGAGGATGCCGCCAACGCCTGCCTCAAGCTGTGCCTCGCGTGCCCACGCTGCCGCTACCTGTCGTGGTCTCTCGAGCAGCGCATCTGCTCGTGGGCGCACGCCTGCGACCTCGACCACCTGTACAGCGATCACGCCAACTCGTTCCTGTCCGTTTCCGTGCGGGCGCTGCTCCGCTCCTCGCGCCTGCGACCCCTCGAGCCCCTGGCACGGCCGCTCTCTCGCGCGGGCTGGCCGGCGGAGCACGTCGACGCGCCGTGTAGCTACGAGTACGTGGGCAGCTGCGCGGCCGGGGCGAGGGCCGAGGCAGCCTCCTCGCCGAGCGAGTCGTCGCTGCGCCGCACGTGCAACCCTGCGTTCAACGACAGCGGCGGCGCCCGCCACGCCCTGCGGCTCGCGGCGCGCTCCGAGGGCGCCGCCGCGTGGCGCGCTCAGCAGGCAGCGCACCGCGCCCCCGGGCAGCCCAACACGCACGCGAGCCGGCGGCGGCCCAAGCAGCTGGGCGGCGCTCACTCGCTGCTGACGCGCCTGCTGGTCGTGCCGCGGCTGCGGCTCGCCTACTGCCCGATCGAGAAGGCCGGCGAGACGCGGCTGATCCGGCTGCTCTTCCACGCGGCGACGGGCGAGGCGAACGCGACCTTCGCCCACCTTGTGCAAGCGAGCGACAAGAACCTCCTCCCCTCGCTATCGGGCCTCGCGCACGCGGCGCGGCTGGCGGTGCTCGCTTGCGCCGATTTTGTAAAGGTGGTTGTCGTCCGCGACCCGCTCGAGCGGCTGCTCAGCGCCTACCTCGACTTGTGCGAGCCGCGGGCCGACGACGGACCCGCGCGCAGCGGCCACCGCGAGCAGCACTGCGAGGGCTTCCCGCTCCCGCGCTGGCGGCCGAGCTTCGACCAACTCGTCGACCACCTCGCGGCGCTGCCGCCCCACGAGCGCTCCGACCTTAACCAGCACTTCCTGCCGCAGGCCTACTTTTGCGGCCTGGTGGCGCCGCGGGCCGACGCCGCCGCGTCGTCCGACGACCTGCTCTTCTCGCACGGCACGCTCCCGCGCTTCCACCACGTCGTGCGGCTCTCGGCCGCCACCTTCGCCGCCGACATGCTCTCCGTCCTCGCCTCGGTCGGAGTCGCCGAGAGCACCGCGCACCGCTTCCTGCAGATGCGAGATGGGCACGACACAGGCGCCGCCGGGCGCGTGCGGCGCTACTACACGCGCGAGAGCGCGGCGGCCGCGCGAGGCGTCTACTCGGTGGACTACTCGACCTTCCGGCTGCCCGAGCCCGCGTGGCTGGCGGACCTCGCCGGGTACACGCACGGAATCAGGTAATCAGCAAATCCTGGTGTTGTAGCGGCTTGTACAACTGTATTGCCGAGCAAGTAGACATACGTTGTCGTTGATTTGTTGTGCCATGGTGCATGGGCCATGGGCCATGGCTGTGGGTATGAACAACTCTCTCGTGGATATGGACACACCAACAAGAACAACGATGCATGATGTATCCTCAAAAGAAAAGCGGCGCTCTCGACCTTTCGGTCTCGCTTGCGAGCCTCGGCGCCTCGCTCACAGTACCAACTTCTTTGGTGGGCGGGTCAGGCATGGCCTGAGCAGGGATAGCGTGTCGGGCTTCACAAAAGGGCTGACTGACCGCGACCAGTCGAGTCGCTGCCACATGCAAGCCCCACCCGCCTCCGACTTCACAGCCTTGTTATTGAGAAGAAAATACCTCTTATGGCGCTGTGCGCTGGCCTGTGAGAGGTTGAGGTGCGAGCCCTGGATTCACACTCGCCCTGAGAAAGCTCGACCGCGAGCTGCTGCTCGCTCCTCGCCACAGAGGCAGCCCGCCCACACATCGACCGCCCACATCCCTCGCTGCGCGCGGCGGCCGCGCGCCGCGTGCCGCCCCTTCCCTCCCTGCCGCCGCCTCCCACCCTGCTGCTGCACTCGGGCCGCTCGTCGGCCCGCGCCCGGCCCGCAGCGCCCTCCTCTGACGCTCTGCGCCGCCGCCCCCTCGCAGACTTCTCGTAATCGCTCCATCTGCGATGTCGCGCCCTCTGCTGCAGCTGCTGCTTGTATCCTGCCTCTCGGCGGCCTCGGGGTGGCTCGTCTCTCCCGCGTGCCCAACCCGCCGCGCCATCTCTGCCGCGCCCGCCGCCTGCTGGGGCGTGCGCATGGATGAGGTCGCCGAGGCGGGGGAGGCTGCTGCGCCGGTGGATGACTTCACCGAGGAGCTGCTGGACGCGCTGGCTGCGGACGAGGCGCCGCTGTCGGCGATGGAGACGCAGCCCGTCTTTGTCAAGGCGGACAACCCGGACGAGACGCTCGAGCCGCGGCTCGCCTTTACCAACGAGCAGAGCGTCGAGGCGATGCGCCAAAAGTACCGGCTGCACGCCTCGGACACGGGCTCCGCCCAGGTGCAGATCGCGGTGCTGACCGCGCGCATCCAGTACATGACGTCGCACATGCAGAAGAACAAGAAGGACTATGCGTCGCTGCGCGGCCTGACGGCCATGGTGGTCAGGCGGCGCAAGCTGCTCGAGTACCTGCTCCGCGAGGACCTGTCCGAGTTCCAGCGGCTCACCTCGGAGCTGGGCATCCGCACCAACCAGCTGACCAAGCCCAAGCTATCGGGCGCGCGCGGCCGCAGGGTCTAGAGCCGTGAGCACGGGCCCTCTGGCGCGCCACCTCTCCGAGAGGGGCTGGGAGGATGTCTTGCAGCGCTCGTGGAGGGGAGGGCGAGGCGCGGCCGGCGCGGCGAGGCCCAGACACAGGCTCTGAGCGTGGAGCGGCCCGCAACGCGCCTTTTTGTTGGTTTCGCACGCACACAGATCTCTCCCCCCCCCCCCCCCCTCACACGCCGCCTGACGATGTGCGTTCCTCTGTCTATCTTCTGTCCGTGGGGAGCATCCGCCTTTCCGTGATGGTACGAGGCAGGACGAGCTCCTTGTGCAAATTCATATATCATATGATCATTTTTGCATCGATTGCGGCTAGCGCGCGCGCGCCGTGGTGCAAATAAAATTAACAAATAAAATAAAAACCAGGCGGAAGAGAGAGAAGAACACGAGATTCGAGATGCGCCCGGGTAACCATGGTCGCGTCTCGCAGGCCGCGCGCGCCCTGTCGCTCTCCCCTCGCGGTGCGCGTCTAGACTTTCTAGTCCGCGCGCCCTCCACAGGCGCCCTCGCTCTCGGCCCTGCCCCACGGGGACCAAGGACAGTTGGTGACAGTACAAGTTCTCCCGGACGTCGCTCATCATCTCCTCGTCCCGCACTGGGAAGAGGCCGCGGCCGCCGCCGCCATGGGCCCCAGGAAGCGAGAGCTGCGAGAACCAATACAGACGCGGGACCTCTGCCGGGACCGGGCGCGCTCCGGTCTCACCGCGCACTGCGGGCCCCATCTGGAGAAATTCCGTACAAGCTCTGCGGCTCACCCACTCGCCACCTCGGCGCGCCCCACCTGCTGCTTGACCAGCCGCGCGTACTCCTCGCGGCTCCTCCGGCACGCCTCGTACGGGCGGTTGCCTCCCGCCCGGCTGGCTGGGGAGCCGAGGTTAGGCTCGTCCAAGAAGGTCTGCAGGGCGAGGCACACCTCCCGGATGCTGATGGTGGGGAGCCAGGTGCCGCCGCGCCCGTAACCGTGCGTCGACTCGGGCGGGTTGATGATGCTCAGGCAGACGCCTGCGTGGGGAGGCGGCGGAATCTCCTCTGCAGGCGACGCGCTGCAGTCGCGCCGACGCAGCAGGGCGCACCGCCGTCGTCGTAGACGTTCGGGTGGAAGAGGAGCTCGCCGCCGATCCGGTCAAAGGTGACTCGCGGAGGCCGGGCCGGGTACTCAGATGTGAAGGTCATCGTCGCCGAGAAGAGGCCGGGCGCCCAAATCGAGGAGGCCTTGGCGGGGATTTTGAGCCTCCAAACAAGCATGTTGTTGGTGCCGTCCGCGTTCTCGCTGGGCTTTGCGACAAACCCCACCGGACGATTCTTGCGCCATTCCTACAGGGTGGCAGCGAGCCTTTGGCGGCCGACGCGAACAAGGTGAGTGCTAGGCAGAGCGGAACGAGCGCTTACGAGTGCAAGGCAGAGCGGAACGAGGTGACCGGCGAGATACCTTGCGCTCGTTCTTCAGCCTCTCGAGGCAGGTGTCCATCGTGGCACACTAAAACCACTCCGGCTCGTCCAACCGCCTCCCTTCACTCACTCTGAAAAAAGAAATTCCCGCAGCTCACGTTAAAAAAAGTCATGCGACGCGCATGCCGAGCGGCCCCACTACCCCACGGGCCCACGCACCACCTGATTTGCCAACAATATACCTAAAACGCACCACCACTCGCGAAACATGTCTCGAAAGCTGCGTCGGCTGTGGCAGCCTGTGCCACCCGTGCGAGACACGTCGAGACTGACAGAGAGTTGTGAGTTGACTCATGAATGAGTACTGAGAGCCGCGTGCACCCACATACCGCGCCGTGTTCAGTCCGAGCCCGGACCTCCGTGGACCTCCAAGCGCGCGTCAACCCCCCTGCCACTCCCCGGAATGCGAATCAGCCGGCGCAGCACGAACCAGCACCTCTCCGCTCGCGGGGGTCTCCGGGCACTCGCGACTCGGGGGTGCGTGTGGGGCCGGGGGGGTAGAAGAGAAAAACATTGCCGGTCGCGCCTTTGACTCTAGCCTTGACGCGCATGGGGCAGGTTTCGACACGAGGGACGAGGCGGGTGGGTGGCGAGACAGCGGGCACGCACACCACAACACTCTCACACGACGCTCCCCGCGAAAAGATGCCGGCAGCCGCGCGCGGGCGGGCGCGTTGGGGTTGCCTCGACGGCTGCGTGCGCCCCACTCTGGCAGCAACGCGCGGCGGGCTCACACCGACTCGGCACCGGCGACGATCTCAGTGAGCTCGGTGGTGATCTTCGCCTGTCTCAAGCGGTTGTACTGGACCTGGAGCTTCTCGATCATCTCGGACGCGTTGGTGGAGGCAGAGTCCATGGCAGTCATGCGCGAAGCCTGCTCCGAGGTCACGTTCTCGAGGATGCAGCTGTAGATGGAGACGGCGAGGTTGAACTGGTAGAGGTCGGCGAGGATCTCCTCCTTCTCGCCCTCAAACTCATACTCGTCCATCACGCCCGAGCCACCGAGAACCTCCGGGCCCTTGAAGGCGAGTGCCGTCACGTCAAAGTTGATCACCGACTTGAACTTGTTGTAGTAGATGACGTAGCTGGGAGGCGGGGGTGGGGAAGAGCTGGCAACGCGCTGGGGTAAGCTGGACTACCAGGCGGAGAGGCAGGGAGGGGAGGGAGGGGGGGGGGATATGCCAGCGGCGTGCCATGCACACCTGTCGGCTGACGAGGCAAGCATCTGTTCTGCTAGGAACGAGGCGAGCGAGAAGGTGACCTTGCCGCCGTAGGCCTCGTCGTAGGTTGTTTTGAAAAACTTGCTGTGCGTGCGCGTCATCGCATCTCGCCCCTTGCTGCCGAGCATGAGCACCTGCACCACAAAAGCGGCGGAGATCGAGAGTGGCCGCCTCTGGTCTGGGTGGTCAGCTGCGGTAGGATGCGGGCTCCAGTGTGCGCCGCCGCTGCAGCAGGGTGGCAACGCACCTCAGGCGACTCAACGCCCTTCCCCACGTACGCTTCCATCCCGAGCTTGACCTCCTTTGCCATCTTTGAGTTGACGCCGCCGCAGAGGCCCTTGTCAGATGAGATGGCCAGGGCCAGCACCGTGGAGGGCGTCTCGTCCTCCTCCTTGACGCCGATGTGGGGCATCATCAGGCTCTGCACTGACGCTGCGAACGGCCGCGCCTTCGCCATGTCGGTCTCAGCCTTCTTGAGCTTGGAGGCTGCCACCATCTTCATCGCCTTGGTGATCTTGGAGGTGGAGGTGACCGACTTGAGGCGCTTACCAAGGTCCTTGACCGACGGCATGGCTCTGGTGGCGGGAACAGGGTGGGCAGCGTTGGTACTCAGTGACACAGCGCTGCGCAGCTGCGGGGTCCAGTCTGCAGTTGCTGCGCATTGTGCGCACAGATCGTGCGCGCTCGGGGGGGAGGGGAGGAGTGCGAGGGGCAGACGAGATGGCGCAAGGCGGAGAACGGAGGATGCAGGAGGGCCTGGGGGGCTGTGAGGGACTCGGGCTGACGGAGTGCGCGCCTAGAGCGCGCGCACACGCGCGCTCAGTGCCCTGCGGCTGAAACTCTACGCCTCGGCGTCGGTCGGCGTACAGGTGTGAAGGGACAACTACAGTGAGGAGGAGGAGGGGAGGAGGATGGCCATGCTGCTGTGCAGGGCGTGGCTGGGAAGGTGGACGAGTCGCTCGAGCGTCGGGACGAGCGGGCTTGCGCCACTGGTGGAGGATTCAGTATGCCGCAGGCGGCTCCCTCCTCGATGGGTTACTCGTATTCGTATCACCTGGTTATCACTCCTGCACTGGCATTGAAGAGGGGATCAACATTCAACATACAACAAACAGGAATCGAGGGTGACCGCATGTCTGCATCAGACGTGTCATCCGTCCCGATCGTGGTCTGCACGTCTCGCGCGCGCGTGAACAGGGCTCCAGGCCCCAAATGACGTGTGAGTGTTAGATTTGTTTGGTATTGCTAAAAATCTCTCTCCCAACCAAAGCCACCCCCTCTTCGTAGACCCCACATTCTGAGGGGTCCTGATTCCAAAGCCGCTCCCAGCCGCACCCGCCAAGCACCTGCCGCCTCCACCTCCGCCTTCAATGATCAATCTCAATGTCCCACCCCCCTGCGCGCGGGCCTTCTAGGCCCGCGGGTAGTCTCCCCCCATCCCCAGGGCCTCCAGGGCTCGCACCTCAACCTCTCATAGACCAGCGCAAAGCGCCATATAGGACGTATTTTCTTCTCAATAACAAGGTCTGTGAGAAGGACATCGGTCAAGTGGTCTCCACACGCTGAACAGAATGTTCAGCCCGAACTCTGTCGAGCCTTCGCTCGGACGGGGGCTGTAAGTAAGGTAGTGTAAAGCCGTAAGACCTTCCCTGGGTTTGTCTCTCACACCCTCACTGTCGTCGTATGCGAGGTTCTTGTGTCTCTTATCACCCTACTGTGAACTCTCGTCTTGCCTGGCGTGCAAGCCCCTGCCCGCGGGTTCGCCATTGGCGGCGGCCGGTGTGTCGACGCATCGCGGGTGTGAAGAAATTCTTCAATTCAAGGTCGTTGCGAACTTTCGCCCGAGACGCCATTTCGGGCCGCAACACCGATCCCACCTTCCCCGGGAACTCCGCCGCAGGCAAAGCGCGCTCCAGGCATGACGCTCACGGTCGTCGTTGGCTCCAGCGGATCGGGCAAAACAACTTTGCTCGAGGACGTGCACAAGCTCCACAAGTGCGCTGAGACAGTGCCATCGCACACGCCCGCCTCTCGACAGCAGCTCCTCTCCTCACACATCTCTCATACACCCCATCACAGCAGGCAGCGGCCTCTCCTCACACATCTCTCATACACTCCAACACGCCCGCCTCTTCCCAGATGCTGCTACATCCGCCAATACCACATGCTGCGGCCGTACGTCAAGGTCGAGAGCATCCCCAACTTTGACCCAACCGCGCTGCCGTACTGGTCGCTCTACTCTGAAAAGACGTTTGAGGACGGCAAGCAAAACGTGTCGTACAGCCCCAGCGTGCAGATTGGCGGCACCATGGCGGGCCAGCTCACCAAGGGGCTGTCGGGAGGGCAGCGCAAGATGCTCCTCTTCGAGCTGGTCAAGCAGCGCACCGCCGGCTCATCCGACCTGCTGCTCGTGCTCGACGAGCCGTTCGCGGGCGTGACGGATGACTTCGTGCCCTTCATCGTGATGCGGCTGAACGAGATGCGGCAGAAGCACAATATCCTCCTCGTTACCAATGACCATGTCCAGACGCTGACGGAGATGGCTGACTCGACCGTCGTCGTCTCCGCCGTCGACCGCTCGAAGGTGTGCGTGGACTCGAAGGGGTACGATCGCGAGCTCTTCCTGCACGCGGTCGCCTCGGGCGCCGAGTACGAGGGCGGGGTGGGCTCGCAGGACCTGCGCTTCTTCGCGGCGACTGAGCTTAGCCCGCGCAACCCCAACATCCAGGGCGTGCTCGGCTTCACCGCCTTCGCGATGGTCATGTTCCTGCTCACCTTCTGGGACTCGCGGCCAGGCTCGGAGGCGCTGCTGCTGGTCGGGCTACAGATCGTCGCCTTCTTCGCCATCAACCCGTACCTCATCCACCTCACCGACTGGCGAAACACGATGGCGGAGGAGGCGGCAGCGCTGATGCACGTCTCGGCGCAGGCCAACCTCGCCCTCAAGGCGGGCATCGTCCTCTCCCTGATGCTCCTCATCTCGAGCGTCTCCTTCGGCATGGTGCAGGCCTGCACAGACACGCTCCGCAGCGGCAGGCGCGAGCTGCTCCCGCCCGGGCCTCTCTCCCTGCCTCCCTCTCTCCCTGCCTCCCTGCCTCGCTGCCCGCCGTTGCTTCTCCACTCTGTCGCCCTCTCCGCTGCCTTCCTCCGCCACACCCCCTCCGCCACACCCCCTCCGCCGCCTCCCCTCCGCGCAGGTGGTTCGTCTTTATGCTCTTCGACTCCGCCTCGCTCGAGCTGCCCTTCATCTGCTTCGGCCTCTACTCGTCGCTGCCGCTGCAGGTGGTCCAGATCCTCGCCTCCTTCCCCTTTCTGCTCATGATCTTCTTCTCGACCACCTTCTCGCCCGGCGCGGGCGTCGCCGGCGTCAAGTCGCTCCGCTATCTGTTCAGCCGCTTCTACTTCTGGTGCGCGCTCGAGGCGCACTCGAAGGAGCTCGTCGAGGACGAGGACGACATCTTCCTCTCCATGGAGGGCTGCCCGCCCGAGGACGACCTCCTCACGTACGCCGTCCTGAGCGGCTGCCTCGGCGCCTTCCTCTTCCTCATGCTGCAGCTGCTCCTCAAGGCGGTTGGGCGGTCGAGACAGGCAAAAGCGGAGCTCAAGCACGTGCGGCACGCCGAGCGCGCCTCGTACTTCGAGCTGCAGACCAAGCTGTACGGCGCGGACAAGGCGGACGAGTACCGCGAGTCGACGATGGCCAAGGGCAAGCGGCTCGGCTCGCAGGGGAGGAACCTCGACGAGATGGACCGATCCAAGGGCAGGACCGTTCAGACGGGAGACGCGCCCGTCCCGCCGGTCTGACCACGCGCCGCATCGAGAGGGCAGGGCGCGCACCGGACCGCACACTTGCACCCACACCACCTTGGCGCGCGGCGAGCGCTTATACGTTGATGCTGTACGGTGTTCACTATCTCTATCAGCACGCTCTCAGACCGCTTGCATCTCAGACCTGACTCGCCCCTGGCCTCTCTGGACGCTCGAGAGCTCTCTATAGGGAGAACATGCTGGGGGGGGGGGGGGGGCGTGCGGGGAGATCATGCGTGCCAGTCGTATTTCTTCCGGCTTATCGTCGGTTAAAGAAAGAAAGAACAGAGAACGGGATGGGAGGACGGCACGCCGCCGCCACACAGGGATTTCAAGGAGAGGAGTATGGTGCTAGCCGTCGGTTGTGTATGCCAGCAGCCCGCAAAATTCTTCCTCTTCTAGTTTCGAAGTCGCGCCGCCGCCACAAAAGCGCGAGCCTCGCTTTTGCCCCGCTGGCAGCAGCACGCGATGAAGGCGTCCTACACAAACGTCGAGACGGAGGAGAAGGAGGAGCTGGTGCGCTCCGAGGGAGAGCCTGACGACAGGAGGGAAACTTCCACGTCCTCGACATGCTGGAGCCAACTCTGCTGTGCGGGCGGCGGTGCGATGCCGAACCCGCCGCGCATACCCTGCGCCGTCCTCCGCGCGCGGCTAAGCTCGCGAGAAGCCCCACTCACTGGAGCCAGCCGCCTGACTCGCACAGGTCTGCTCGGCATCAGAGCTTGCATCCTCGGGTCGGTGGTGGTGCAGAACACAGCTTACGCGCTGGTGCGGCGGTACTCGCGGGGCGCACTGCGCGAGACCTACTCCACCTCCTCGGTGCTCCTCGTGATGGAGGTCGCCAAGATGGCGCTCTCTGCGTTCCAGATAGTCACCTCGGTGCCTACGCCCTCTCTCTGCACCCGCTTGGGCCTCGCCGCTCCCGCCTCGCCGCTCCCGACTCCGCGCCTGCCCCGCACCCTCGCGCTGAGGCAGCGCCTCCACAGACGACAGCCCTCGCCGCCGCCCCTCCCGCGTGGCTGCCCGCTTGCCGTCGCCGCCGCCGTCCGCCCTCACCGCCGCCCGCCCGCCCTCACCGCCGCCCGCCCGCCTCGACGCGCTCCCCTGCTGCTCGCTGCCCTCCTCCTCCTCGCGGCCAACCCGCCCCGCTGCCGCGCAGGACGCGCCGTCGGACGTGCCGTCGGGCAGCGCGCTCTCAAAGTACGCCTACCTGATCACGCACAGCCTCACCATGCTCGTGCCCGCCGTCGTCTACCTCGCGATGAACATCCTCGGCTTCGAGTCTCTCAAGTACATCGACGCTCTACAATATGTGTCCACTCTACAATATATGTATTGTAGGCTTCGTCAGCCTCAAGTACATCGACGCGGCGACCTTCGCCATCCTCGCGCAGATGAAGGCCTCGCCGCTCGCCTCGCCTCCGCCGCGCCGCCTCGCCTCGTGACCCCCTCCAGCCGCGCGACTAGGTCTTCACCACGGCAATCTTCTCCGTCGTGCTGCTGCAGAGGAAGCTCCACCTGCGAAAGTGGCGCGCGCTGCTCACGCTGACGCTCGGCGTGGTGCTCATCTCGCACGAGGCGATGCCAAAGTCGGCCGCCGCCGGAGACAGCCGCGCCAAGCTCGCCTTCGCCGAGTTCCTCCTTGGCGCCACCCGCCTCGCGGCGGCGCCCCCTCCCCGCCATCTCGCCGCCATCTCGCCGCCATCTCGCCGCATCTCGCGCCCGTAGGCATCGCCGCGTCGGTGGGCGACGTGGTGCTCTCGGGCTTCGTCTCAATCTATTTTGAAAAGGCGCGCCGGCACGCAGATGCCAGTCCAGCGCCAGTCCAGCCGCCCACCGCGTGCCGCGTCTCCCTCGCAGCGCGCCGGCGCACCGAGGCGAGGCCCACGCGCCACCGAAGGATCGTCCGCTCCGTCGCACATGGCATGGCTGGTCGCTGCCTTTTGCTAAAATCTAAGACGGAGACCTACTCCATCTGGGACCGCAACTTCCAGCTCGCCTTCTGGTCCGGTCTCATCTACACGCCCATCATGATCCACGACATCCCGATACACACTCGAAACCCGAGATGCGCCCAGAGACGCGCCGGGACCGGGGCCGGGGCCGGGGCCGAGGGGCGGCCCGCGGCCGTCGCCTCCTCGCCCCGCGCTGTGCCGGCGGCTGGGAGAGCCCCTCACCCCCACCCCCCTCACCCCACCCTCGCCCGACCCTCGCCCGCAGGCAGCCCTTCGCTGGCTGGACTCCGATGGCCGCCGTCTGCGCCGCGGTGGGAGGCACCGGCGGCGTGCTGGTCGCGCTGAGCATAAAGTGCGCGCGCCTCGGGGAGGAGGGGCGGGGCGGGGAGGAGGGGAGGGGCGGGGAGGAGGGGAGGGGCGGGGAGGAGGGGCGGGGAGGAGGGGAGGGGAGGAGGGGAGGAGGAGGGGAGGGGAGGAGGAGGGGAGGGGCGGGGAGGAGGGGAGGGGCGGGGAGGAGGGGAGGGGCGGGGAGGAGGGGCGGGGAGGAGGGGAGGAGGAGGGGAGGAGGAGGGGAGGGGCGGGGAGGGTATGCTCCTCACGCCGGCACCTCCGTGGGGGGGGTAGGTACGCGGACTCGATCATGAAGACCATCGCCACCACGGGCGCGCGCGATGCCGCCGGGCTGCCCTCAGGGGCGGCGAGAGGGAGTCGCCTCGCTGTTCCCCTCACGCGTCCGGTGCGCGCCTCAAGGTGCCATCGTCTTCACGACGATCCTGAACGCCGCCTTCCTGGACGGCCCCTTCACGCTGCCCATCGTCGCCGGCGCCGTGGTCGTGATGGTGTCGGTCTGCAACTACAACGACCGGGGCGACCCCGAGAGCTAGCGAGGCGGGAGGCTGCACAGCTAGCGGGGCGTGCGTATGGCGGGCGCGAGGGTGGTGCCAGCGCCTCCGCGGGTGGCAGAGCTAGCCGCGGGGGCGGTGCGCGGGGGCGGTGCGCGGGGGCGGGGCGGCAGCGGGGCGGCAGCGGGGCAGGGGAGGTGGCGGAGGGACGGGAGGGCAAGGTGGAGAGGGGAGGGGGGAGTCAGCAGAGGGTGCTAGGAGGGAGGGACAGGGAGGGGAGCAGGAGTCGGAGGGAGGGCGACGGGCGCAGCGAGTGAGCGAGTTGCTGCGCACGCGACTGCAGGTGGCGAAATGCCGGAGGCGCAGGCTGCCCCATACCCATCGGTCCCTCATCCATTGAGAGCCGTTGCGGGCACCGCCCGGCACGGCGCCGCGCGCGCCTGACGGCTCGTATATCTCTCCTCTCGCGGTGTTCTCCGCGCGGGTGCGGGGCTGCTTGGCTTTGTCTCGCGCCCGGACGCTGGCGTGGCTGCGGAGGCTTCCAGCGAGCCGTCCGGTGTGAGGCTTATCGCGCTGTATTTCATGTCCTGTGTACCGTATGTTCAACATGCTCCACAATAAAAGGGTCCACGCACAGCTCATGCTAGCACGAAACGAACACACGCCGACGAATACACACCGGATCGCACGACACCGGTATGAACATCCAACGAGGTCTCACGAAAAGCAACACGAGGACTCACAGTCTCAGTAACACGGCATGCCGCTGTCAGTTGCGCACCGCCACGACTGCTATCGGGCAGCGGTGGCGATGTCGCTGGCCGAGGTACGAGCAGAGCTGAGAGTAGACCCCAGCTTCGCCTCCTCGATGAAGAAGCCGTAGAAGTAGCAGTCGACCCACACGTGTCCCGGCCGCGCCGCGCACGCCTCCGGCACCCTGCTAAGCGACCGGGAGGAGCGGCGACGAGGCTCGGGAGGAGCACAGCCACTCGGCGGAGGCGGGCCGCGTTCGCGCTCCAGGAGGAGCGAGGCTGGATCGGAGCTGTTGAGGGAGAGCATCTCCCGCAGTGGAATCGCCAAAAAGCTGGACTGCGTGCGCGGGAGGCCCATTGGACCAACGAGAAGGGATTGGCGCTTTGGATTGACGACCCCGGCAATGACTCGTTCCGAGAAAAGTCGTTTTAAAATTCTGAAAAATTCCGGCTAGCGCATCACACTCTCCTCTCCTTAAAATCCCTGTGTGGTGGCGGCGTGCCGTTCTCCCATCCCTCCCTTGGGTTGTGTGTTTTCTTTCTCTCTTTCTCCGCCTCCGGCGCCGCCGCGCGAGCCGCCCAATCGGCAATCGCACACGGTCACGGAGGCGTCGTGCGGCACTGGGTGCGACGAGAGTCGAGACTGGTCGTCTGCTCCACAACGAAAAACACTTTGATGTTGAGAGGTGGGAGCTCTCACACTTTTGGGGGACTCTCACACTTTTGGGGGACCGTAACGAAATAAAAAATAGGGCGGGTGCACATTCCCTCACTCACAACCCCGAGAGCGGTTCAGATAGTTCGCCAGGAAGGCGAGGCCCTTCTCGGGGCACGAGTATGGGATCGTGTGTCCGCAGCCCTTGACGGTGACGAGGGAGAGGTCGGGCGCCCAGCGCTTCACCATGCCCGCCACATCGCGGTCCAGGTGCCACGGCCGCCAGTCGTCCTCCACCGGAAGGCCGAGGCACTCCATCCACCGCTCAGTGCCGAGGAAGGGCACCGCCGAGTCCGCGGTGCCCGAGACGACGGCGAGGCGCCAGTGCGGAGCCCGGGCAAAGAAGTCGGGGAAGAGCCGCGCAATGTCCGCCTTCTCGCCGGCGACGCCCTGGTTGTAGTGCCACCCGGGCGGCGTCGTCGGCCACGGCCGCTCGTGCAGCGAGGCGGGTGGCGCGTGCACGGCCGCCCGCACGTCGGCCCGGTTCATGTAGGCGGGCGTGAGGTCGGAGAGGCAGGGGTCGTACCTCGGCGTGCTGTCGGCGCCGTGCGTCTCGCGGAGCCGGCGGAGGAAGGGCTGGTCCCGCACGACCGACGCGTCGGCCGCCGCCGCGTCGGCGGCCGTGCGCGCACACGTCGGCGCGAGCACATCATACGGGTCGAGCGGCGAGGGCACGTACTTGAGCGCCGCGCTGGTGGCCGCGCGGCAGGCTGGGGACGGGTGCGTCGCGTCCTGGCGGCAGTCTGTGAGGAAGGAGCCCCAGCCGCACGCGTCCCTGGCTGCGGTGTACGCCGGCGACGGAATGAGGCCGTGCGACCACATGTACGTGACAAAGGCGTACTCGTTGACGTTGTAGTACCAGTCCGAGTTGATGCCCGGATTGCCGATGAGGAAGCCCTTGGTCTGCGCGAGGAGCGGGCCGCCGCCGTCGAGGATCGCCTTTGCGATGGTCGGCACGTAGTGGCCTGCGGTGGCAGAGGCGCCGGTTTTGAGAGGAGGCGCAGGCTGCGCTGGAGGGGGCGGAGGCTGTGGCAGCGGCGGCCTCCGTACGACTCGCCGGTGACGTAGAAGGGGTGGCCCTTGTAGCCGCTGAAGACGTCAAGCCACCGCTGGAGAAAGGTGTACGTGTCCGCGGCCGCAGCCGCGTCGGTGACATTGCGGTATTTGTTCGCATTGCGCGAATGCGAGTAGCCGACGCCCGACGGCATCTCGACGTAGAGCACGTTAGCGATGCGGTTCCACGAATGGTTATATGGCACCGGGCGGACGATGCCGCTCGAGTTTGAGAGGCGGAAGGGGCCGTGCTCCGTCCAGAAGCCGAAGGCGACGCTGCTGGCGCCGGGCCCGCCGTTGGTCCAGAAGACGAGCGGGTCCTTTGCCGGGCTGCGCGCTGACTCGACAAACCAGAAGTACAGCTCAGTCCCAGCGGCGTCGCCGATGGGCAGCAGACCGGCATACTGCTTGAAGGTCGGCGGTGGCGACAGGCCGGGCAGCGAGGCGATCAGGAAATCGGACGGCGTTACGGCGAGCGTCATCGAGATGAATGAGCTGAGCATGCGAGTGTGTGTGCGTTGTGCCTCGCTCGCAACGCAGACGCCCCAAGAGGCAGCGCGAACCGGTGCGGTGAGACCCGGACGAGTACTCAGGCACGGCCTGGCGAACGCGCACCCACCAGGGCTTGGGCTCTCTTGCCCGCAACCCGATCCCAATCATCTGGCCCGCTCGCGCAACTCAGGTCCCCCATGCCAGTTTCGGAGGGCAAACCCTGCCCGGCCCCTAGAGCCCCAGGTAAGGCCCAGGTGTGGCCTAGGGCATCAGAAGGGACCAAGAGGAGTCCAGTCTGAGCCATAGAGCCCATGTCTTTGCCCCCGAAGGTCGCGTTCAAATGCCCGGAACGGACGTACAGTGGTGTCCGGCCGGCGCGATCAGGATCACCGAGCTGTGACGCTCAGGGAAGCCGGTTGAGGTGCTAGTTTCTTTGGCCAAGGCTGGCCTACGGCCCGTGCTGGATCAGCTGAGCAAGGTTTGGGGAGAATCCCCCGGACAGATCTTCAGATATTTTGACGGATGACCGAAATCCGTTTTTGCCCAATTTTCTGTCCCTGTCTAGCCCGTAACCCGATCCCAATCGTCCGGCCAACTGGGTGCGCTTCTGAGCTCCCCGGTCCTGGGCGTGCGGCAAATAACTGCACTCCAAGTGCTCCAAATGGTGCGCATGACAAGCGATCAAGCGATCCGCCGATCCCACGACAGCGTGTGGGGACCACATGTGACATGTGCATGTGCATGCACATGCACATGTGATCCGTACGTGAAGGGTGGAGGGGCCCGTCCGCAGAGCTAGGCGGCACAACCACCCCCCACTGGGGCCGAGGACAAGAGGCCGTTTGCCGCTTGCTTGTTCTTCTTGATCCAGTTGGTGCGCACAGTGCGCGCCTCCTTGTTGATGTTTTCGGCGTCGCCCGCCACCGCCGCCATGGGGAGATCTGCTGCGTGCGTGGTGGACGACAAAGGAGGAGGCGCTCGCCGACGCCGCCCCATACACCGTCCGGTCCGTGACCGGGGTTGGTGCCACCGCTTCCTTGGCGAACACGACGTGCAGGAACTGCTTGGTGGGCGGCGCAATGCCACCCAAAGTCCCCACGAGCACCAGCCGCGTTATGGCTTTCTTGACCCACTTCGCGTCGTAAGTACTGCGCCCCCATCCATTTCCAGCACTTGGAGCACTTGGAGTGCAGTCATTAACCTCACATCCAGGGCCGGGGAGCTGAGAAGCGCACCCAGCGGGCCGGATGATCGGTGTCGGGTTACGGGCTAGAGAGCCCTAGCCCCGGGGGTGCGCGTTCGCAGGGAAAGGGCCTTAAAGTAAACACGCACGGGTCCCCGAGGGTTGGTTGGCTCTGCGCTCCGGGTTTCCCCTAGCTGCGGAACGCCCCCTCTACACGGGGCTAGTAGACAACAGACACTAGCACGACTCGATAGCACGACAACACACACACTCCTCACATGACATCAATCAAAAAGAAAGAAAGAAAACAGACAACCCAAGGGAGGGATGGGAGGACGGCACGCCGCCACCACACAGGGATTTTAAGGAGAGGAGTGTGATGCGCTAGCCGTCGCCCACCCTAGGGAGTCTGCCTCTTCCTATCTCTTTTCGCAGTCTCTCGCCGATTCTCGCTGCAACCTTCATGCCACCTCGCGGCCGTCCCACTCTCGTCGTTCTCTCCCTTGTCACTTCCTCCTCTGTCGCGTCATTCTCTTCTGCCTCGTCCTGCGCCGCCGCCGCCTGCCGTTCCCTTGTTCTCTCGGCTTCTTTCGCCTTTCGGCGCAGCTCCGCCCTCCTTGCTGCATATCCTGGCCCCTCGAGTCTATCGAGCTCCCCTCGCGCAAGGACCACATTTCTGACATCAATCACTCCCGGAGTCGTATCGGGAAGTTATTTCTTTGCAACATGCATCATCAATCGACCGGCAAACACTTCTCGTTCTCATCAAAGATCCATGTTCGCCCCAATCTACTCACCTTTCGCTCTCACCGCGCGAGTCGGTGCGTCGCTGCACTCCACCGCCGGGCGCCGGGAGCCGCCGCGAGTTCGCATGACGGCGGACGAGCCCCAGCAGCCCCAGCGGACAGCGCCGACATCCATGACAGAGGCGCAGCAGCAGCTGCCCTCGTCCGAGCACATGGCGCTGATGGAGCGGCTCGCGTGCAACGAGGTCGAGTGCTGGGCGGAGGAGTGCGAGGAGGAGGACGACGAGTGCTGGACATTCGAGGCGGCGCTCGAGGAACTGCTCGATGCCGGGCTTCTCGAGTCGAATGCGGGTGACCTGTAGGCACACACGTGTTTCCCGCGGTGTGCAGGCGGCTGCTCCTTTTGGCAGTGCGCTTCGTCGGTAGTAGGACTGTCCTACTGCGCCCCCGTGCGTTCCCTACGCTCTGTCGAGCTCACACTGTTGCGGTGGAGCTCATCTCCTCTCACTTGTTGGCATGTTTCGGTGCGCATGAAAACACTGTACGCGGTTTTGCATATATCAATCTCCCAAAGCCCTCTCCATGGCCTCGCTAATGCGCGCGTTCCGCCTCGCTACGGCGACGGCGCGTGTGGCGAGGGCGCGCGCCGACGGGACAAACCCGGGTGGCACGCCCTCGGCCTGCAGCGCGGCGACGGCGGCCGCCTCCGGCAGCGCCGCGGGTTCGATCCTCCAGAGGCGGAGCCGCTGCAGGGTCAGGTTGGAGCGCTCCCACGCGCCGACCGCAGATGCCGCGGCGCCGAGCGGGAGGCCACAGCCGTGCAGTTGGAGCGCCTGCAGGCTCCGGTTGCCAACCAGCACCGCCACGAGCGCAGACTCCACCGCCGGCTCTGCGGCCGCGCTGGGGTGGCAGGAGAGGTCGGCGTCGGTGAGGGAGGTGTTGGCGGCGAGGGCGACGAGCACCGCCGAGAGAAGCCCGCCGTATCCCGCCCCCCCGCCCCCTCCGCTCGCGCCGCCCGGCGAGCCGTCGCCGCCGCCGCCGCCAAGCTCGAGCCGCCGCAGGAGGCAGGCGGGGTTGGCGAGGAGGGCCGCCACCGCGGCCGCAAGCTGCTGCAGCGCCGCCGCGTCGTCCTCCCGCCGCGCGGCCGCCCGGACGGAGGGTGAGGTGGCCAGCCGGGGCGCAGGGCACAGCTCTCCGTCGGTGTCCTCCGACGGCCACGTCTGGCTGTGCCCGGCGCCGCTCCCTCCCGCTGCCCGGCTCGCCCCTCCCGCGCTCTCTCTCGCCGCGCCGCTCGAGGCCGAAGAGCCGCTCCGGCGCACCGCCGCGGGCGGGGCGGACGCAGGGGCGGGCCGAAGGTTTGCGCCGAGGGAGAGGGTGCCGAGGGTGCGCACACCCGTCAGGGCAGTGACGAGCGCGGCGAGGGCGCTCGCGCCGAAGCCGTTGCCGCGCGCGTCGAGGCTGGCGAGGGGGGCGCCGCCGGAGAGCGCCTCAGCGAGCTTGAGCCCGCCAACCGGCCCCAAGCCGTTGCGGGCGATGGAGAGGTGCAGGCGCGGCCCGGCTGCCTCCGGCCCGCCCGCGCCGTGGTGCTTGCGCAGCAGCGCCGACACGCAGGTGCAGAGCGCGTCGGACGAGATGCCAGTAGCGTCGAGACTGAGGCGCGCGAGCCTACAGCCATAATGCGGCGGTGACGAGGTCTCGCGAGGGAGGGGGGGGGGGGGGGGCTGTGGGGTGGCGGAGGCGGTGGGCTGGGAGGCGGCGCGGCGCGGCGGCCTTCGGCGGAGGGCGAGGACTTGGGCGAGGGTGGCGGTGGGGGTGGGGGTGGAGGTGGCGGGAGATGAGCAGGGCGAGGGGGGCGCCTCGGGAGGAGGGCGAGCCGCATGAGACGGAGCGAGAGGGACGGCTCAGGCGTGGAGAGGTCGAGGCCGGACAGGTCGAGGAGCGCGAGGGGCGGCGCGCAATCCGAGAGGGCGGCGAGCGACGCGCACGCCAGGCTCTCTGCCGGCTCGCCTCCCACAAGGCGGGCGAAGGCGGCCGCCACCGAGTCGGCACCCGACCCGCGCTCCTGCGGCGGCGGCACACGGCCGCGGGCGGAGAGCAGCCGCAGCCGCTCTAGCCCGTGCGCGCGGCGGAGGAGGGCCACGAGGCCAGAGGCGAGGCCGCGGTCCGCCTCGAGCCCGTCCACGTCGATCGTGAGGCGGCGGAGGCTGTGCACGGCGAGGAGGCGCGACGAGTGGCGCATCAGGGCAGCGCAGACGGACGCGGCTTCGCGGCCGACGACGCCGCACGCGTGCAGCTCGAGCGCCTCGATGGGCACTCTCGCCTCGGCGAGTGCGGCGGAGAGCGTCGCCGTCGCCGGTCGCATCGGCTGCGCGAGCGACCAGAGACGGCCGCAGCGGTTCAGACGTAGCGCGGAGAGCGAGAGCAGCGAGTTTGCGCGCGCCGCCTCGAGCCAGCTGCGCAGCGAGCTATCTGAGAGGCGGCAGTCCTGCAGCGAGAGGGAGCGCAGCACGGGCGAGGCGCGCAGCAGCTCCCGCATCGCGCGGCTCGCGCCCGCCGAGAAGACGAATCCGCGGAGGGTGAGGGCGGTGACCCGGGTCGAGTAGAGGAGTGCGAGCAGGCAGAGCTCGAGCTCCGTCTCGGACCAGCGGTGCGGCGAGCCGTCCGTCAGCCGTAGCGACCAGCCCGACGGCGAGGAGGCGGGCGGGCTGGACGAGCGACCACGCTGCCGCTCGCTCGGCATCGGGTCGATGTACAGCCCCTGGAAGACAAAGCCGGCCGGCGCCGCCGCCTCCGCCGCCGCGTCCTCGCCGTCTTCCTCAGCGTCGCCCGTCGCCGGCTCCAGCCCTTGCCGCATCGCCGACGCCGCCGCGGCGCAGTCGAGGCCGCCGAACCAGTTGGCGAGAGTGAGGAGGGCGCAAGCGGTCTCCACGTCCGCCCCTTCCCCGGAGAGCGGGTGGTCCGCCTGAAGAAAGGGGGGAGGGAGGGGCAAGCGTCAGGCGGGCACGGCTGGGGAGTCGTGGGCGTCCGGGTGCCGACGCGAGGCTCTAGCAGCCCCCTGGCGCGCGCGGAGGTGGCGTGGGCTGGGCAGTGCTGAGGTCTCTCGGACGCCGCCTTGGCCTCCGCGTGCGGCTGGGTCGGGTCCTCGAACACGTTCCAGCGCAGCTCCCCCCGTGCGGGCGCATCGAAGGCGCCGGTAGGCAGGCAGCGCCGCAGCGCTCCAACCCAGGCGTCGGCGTCCGCCCACGAGGCGGGCGCCACGGTGACGGGCCGCTCGGAGCCGGCGGGCGTGAGGGAGACGATCTCAATCGCCTCGGCGGGGGCTGCCGGGTCGGGCGAGGGGGCGACTCGTGTCACCGTCTCCAAGTTTACCGACGCCGCGGCGGACGACGCGGGGAGCAACGCGTCCGCCTCGGCCGCCTCGCGCGCGGCGGCGGCGGCGAAGAAGAGGAGCCTCGGCGGCGAGGGCGCGAGGACTGCCCAGTGAGAAGGGTCCGCCGACGAGCGGCCTCTGGAGGAGGAGGAGGAGGAGGAGCCGCGCGGGGAAGAGCCCTCGCCCTCGCCCTCGCCCGCCCGCAGGCAGACCCACCCGCACACCCTCCCCTCCCCGTCGAGCGGCGTCGCCGGCGGCGGCGGTGGCGTCGCCGGCGCGTAGTCGGGCCGCCAGACGAGGTCAAAGGGCCGCATGGGCAGCGCCAGCAGACGCGAGTGCGGTTGCAGCCACGCGTCGTCGCGCTCGCAGCCTCGCGGCGGCACCCCGAGCCAGGCCGTGAGCCTCTGCCATGCCCCCTGCAGCGTGAGGGCCGCCTCGCGCGCGGCAGGCGACTCGATGGAGAGGTGGGCCTCGGCGCCGGCGGGCGCGGCGAAGACGAGGGCAAGGTGCGAGCGGAGCTCGTCGCTCGAGTCGAGGAGCCTGCAGCACCAGCGAGGGGGTCGTGTCCAGGCATCCGTGGGGCTGGGTGGGCCCGCCCTCGTGTGGCGCGCCGCAGCTCGAGGAGGTGCGAGTTGGCCAGCAAGTGCGAGCCGACCGACTCGAGGGAGAGGAGGGGCGCCTCGGGCTGGCCAACCGCACCCTGAAGCCGCTCGACCCACACGCGCTTCGCCTCGGCGCTGGGCGCCTGCAGGACCCACCGCCGCTGCGGAGTGGCGACGACGAACGCGAGCGGCTCCGACTCCTCGTGGCCGTCGGGGAGGAGCTCGCACTGCTCGGCAAGCGAGATGTGGCCGCGTGGCTTGGCGTCGGCACGCGGGGCGTAGTAGTAGAGCGAGCCGCCCTGCAGCTCGAAGCGGCGCGCCTTCCACTTGGAGAGCGACATCTTGCCCTCCCGGCCCTGCTTGAGCAGCGTGCCGACCAGCTGAGGCTCGAGCACGCCCTGCCGCGGCTGCTGCACCCACAGCCGGAGCAGCCGCACCCGCTGGGAGGAGAGCACCAGCAGCCGCATCTCCCCCTCGCCGGGGGGCGCGCCGGGGGGCCTCCCCCCGCCGCTGCCCTGCCCCGAGCCCGCCGCCTCGCCGCTCGAGCGGCCGCTGCTCCGCCGCCCGGCTGCAGCCACGCCAAACGCACCGCCGCTGACCTCCTCGGCGCCCGATGCCGCGCGAGCGCCGCCGGCCGTCCATTTCTCCTCGGACGAGCGCCCCGCCGGGTCGTCGGCCGCGCCGAAGATGGCGGAGAAGTAGCCCGACGTCTTCTCTCTTCTCTCTCTGTCGACAGAGGCCGCCGAGTCCGCGCGGGGCTTGCTCTCGCCACTCGCCACCCAGAGCGCCGTGTGGATCGTCTCACCGGCGCAGCGGCGCGCGGCGGCGACGACGGCAGGCTGGTAGAGAGTGAGGCGGAGCGGCGTGCCGTCGGGCAAGGGCTCGAGCAAGTCTAGCAGCTCTCCCTACTCGCAGCTGGCGGTGGTGGGTGCAGCGGGCGCCTCTCGCGGGTACGGCACCTGCCGTGAGCGGCTCCGCCTCGCTCGCCACCGCCTGGTCGTTGAGGGCGACCAGCCGATCGCCCACGAAGAGGCACGCCCGCACGTGGGGTGAGAGCTCCGGAAGCAGCTGCACCACCGTGCTCGTGTTGTGGCCGAAGCGGAGCGCGAGCGTCCCTCCTCGACTCTCGGCGAGCAGCTGGCGCTTGTCCGACAGGAGCAGCGTCGAGAGCTGCGCGTCGGGGCCCTCCCGAGAGAGCAGCGTGCGCAGCGCCGGCACCGCTTCAGCCGCCTCCAGACGCGCCTCCTCCGCCGCCGCCGCCACCGCCGCCTTTTGCGCCGCGTCCAGCCACTCGCACCGCTCTAACGCGGCGTCGATGTCGACCTCGAGCGCCGGCGCGGCCGCCGCGTCGCTGCCCTCGCGCTGCTGCGGGAAGCTGGCACCGCGCGCGATCGCGGCGTCCGAAACCAGCGACTCGTCGCCCGCCGCGGCCACCCGAGGCGAGCCTCCCGCCGCCGCCGCCGCCGCCGAGGCGTGCATTGAGGCACGTGGCGGAACAGGCCACCCGGCGGCCGGCTGCCACCCGGAGGGCCGGTCCCACCGACTCTCGCCGCTCGCGGCGTGGTGGTAGTAGGGCCGCCCCTCCTCGTCGAGGTACTCCTCCCACCCGACCGCCCCGCCGACCTCCTCGGGGGCTGGCCCGCCGCCCGCCCCGCCGCCACCCTCCAGGCTTCGCCGCGCGTCAGCGTCGTGAGACACGCGTGCCGCGTCGCCCATCGACTCGCGCCGCAGCTCCGCCTCGTCGACGACCGACTCGCGGTGCAGCTCCGCCTCATCAACCACCGAGTCGCGCCGCAGCGCCTCGGCAGTGCGCTCGGCCGACCTCCGCAGCTGCTCGGCCAGCAGCTCCTCGGTCGACTTGGCGCGCCGCTCCTGCGCCTCCGCCGCCTCCGCCAAGCCGCCGTCGCTCAGCGACCCATCGCTCAGCGTCCCGTCGCTCTCGCTGAAGCGCCTCGACCCTCCTCCTCGGCTCACGATTGTGGGGAACGGCGCCGAGGCGGGGAGCGGAGCGGGCGGCGCTTGCCGCAGCGGCGCCCCCTCCTCCTCGACGAGCCTACGGAGCGTGCGGGGGACGTGTCGTGGAGAGGCGCGGGAGCAGCCTTTCCCGTGCCCTGGGACGGGCCGGCGGAGCGACGCCGCGGGCCTCGCCTCGCGCCGCGCCCCGCTCAGGAGGGAAGGCGGCGCTCGCGGTGGCGCGGCGGCAGCGGCGCCAGGCCCGCCTGCTCGCGCCGTGGCGGCGGCCGCTCCACCCGAAGATGCCGCGTGGAGAGGGGGCGGCTGCGATGGCTCAGGAGGCAGCCCTCCTCCCTTCCTCTGCGGCCCGCCGGCTTCCAGCTCGCGGCTGCTCCTCCTTCCGCCCCGCTCGCCGCCGCCCCTCTCTCCGCCGCCCGCCGTGCGCGGCGGGCCCTTTGGGACGCGGCCGCACGAGCAAGGCCCGCCGAAGAGGTCGAGGCCTGCTCACAGTTGGCAGGCGATCAGCACCCCGCACAACAAGTACAAGCGGGCTGAGAGTCCGAGTCGCGCCGGTGTTGTTGCAGCTGCGGCAGACGCCTTCTCCACCCGTCGCCTCGTCTGGCGCCAGCCGGCTCTCCGCCTCTGTCAGCCACGAGGGCGTCGCAGCGGCCTACAGCTCTCGGGGCCGTCCCCAGTCAAGCCCTCGCTACTCTGGGCTTGCAACAACACGCCACGCAATGATGGCGGCCCTCAGTGATGGCGGCCGTGCCCTGGGCGCGCCCGCCGCTGCCGCTGCCGCTGCCGCCTCGGCGGCGGCCGCCTCGGCGGCGGCGGTCGATGCAGACGGCGACCAACTTGGAGGCTCCTCGAGAGGCGGCGAAGGGAGATGCGACAGCTGCGGCGGCTCGCGTGGCGGCGACGAGAGAGGGGAGGGGAGGCTCCACCGTGAGCTCTCCCGCGTTGGCGTCGCGGGCTGCGACCGCCTGCAGCGGTGGCAGTGATGGTGGCAGTAACGGGCGGCGGCCGTGGCAATTGCGGTGGCAGTGCTGGCGTGAGTCGCGAGGCTCCGATCGCCTTCTTTCGCGGCCCGAGAGCAAGTCGCACGCGGCGCACCTAGGACCAGGAGGCGTGCCCAGGCTCGGAGGCCAGGGCCTGTCTGGACGAAATGAGGGAGAGGGTGCGCATACTCGTAGGTGAGGAGCTCGTCGTCCTCGATTGGGCCGCCGCACCGGCGGCATGGCTCCGCGCCCGCCTGTGCAGGGCGAGGCGTCTGAGAGGGCACTTGTCTGAAGGCGTCTCTTAACGCGGGTCGCCTCGACTGCCGGTGGAGCCGCGCCGTCGGCTGCTTGAGGCGCACCAAAGTCGAGGCTCCGTCGCCTGGCCGCGGCCTTCTGCTGCTGAGGCGGCGGCGGCGCTGGTGGTGTGGCTCTGATGGGCGGCGGCGGCGGCGGCACAGGGATGGGATACGTCGCTGGCTCGGATGAGAGCGAGGCCCGGGAGGTGCGGGCGGGCGGGGTGCTGCCGAGCGCGCGCTGCGTCGGCGTGAAGGTGCGGGCGAGAGGCTTCATCTCCAGCGGGGAGCGAGGGCTCCTCAGCGGCGGCGGAGCTGCCACTGGCGTTGGCGCTGGCGACGCAGGCGGACTCCAGTCGTCGTCCGAGCTACTGGAGGACTCGGCTGCCGCTGCCTTCGCGCCCATGCCACCGCGTGCGAATAAGGCATTGAGCTGAGCCGCAAAGCCAGCACCCAAGCCCGAAGGCCCTTTTGCTGGAGAGGTGGCCGCCGCGTCGGCTGGCTCGTTACCGAGGCTGCCAGTACTGCCGTCGCTGACTCGCACTGGCTTGAGTGCGGTTCCGGCGCGGATGGATGCGAGCAGCTCCGCGTTCATGCAGAGTCAGAGGACAAATGCCACAGTCGCTTCGCTCGCCGCGGATCGATGGCGGTACGCAGTTTTCTTTTTCCCTCCGCTCTAACCTGTCCCGCGTTCTCCCATACCGCGCTGGTGTCCAGTCCGAGCCTTACTGTTCTTCGCCTTCCTACATACATACATACTCACGCCGCCGCCAGCCTCCACCTCACCCACGCCGCCGCCGCCGCCGCTCACGCCGCCGCCGCCCTCCACCTCGACCACGCCCCCGCCAGCCTCCTCCTCCCCCACACACCAGCCCCACACCGCCGCCGCCGCCGCTCACGCCGCCGCCGCCCCCTCCACCTCGCCCACGCCCCCGCCACCCTTAACCTCGCCCACACCGCCGCCGCCGCCGCTCACGCCGCCGCTGCCCTCCACCTCGACCACGCCCCCGCCAGCCTCCTCCTCCCCCACACACCAGCCCCACACCGCCGCCGCCGCCGCTCACGCCGCCGCCGCCCCCTCCACTTGGCCCACGCCCCCGCGGCCGCCGCCGCTAAGGGTCACGCCGCCGCCGCCCCCCCAGTCGCTGGGGGTACACAACTCGTGTATCATGCTTGGGGGACCCCCTCCTCCATCCCCCGGTCGCGGGGGGTGCACAACTCGTGTATCTTGTTTGGGGGACCCCCCCCCCCCCCCTCCCCCCCTCCATCCTGCCGCCACTGCCTCGCCCACGCCGCCGCCACCCTCCACCTCGTCACCCCGCCACCGCCGCCGCCCACGCCGCCGCCACCCTCCACCACCCGCCGCCGCCCTCCACCTCACCCACGCCGCCGCCACCCCCCAGCCACCGCCACCGCCGAGCCGTCCATCGCCCTGCCGT